CCACAAAGCTTACAAGGACCTAATTAGAGCCATAAAATTAAAATAAAAGAGTATAGCATTGGGAGAGGCATAGTTTGATGGGCTTATTCTTCAATTAAAATCATATATCTACCACTTGTTTAAAAAAAAAAAATCAAACTCATTAAAAAGATACTCAGCTAAAATCCCTCCCAATCTATCTTTAGCCTGTCCCCAGACTCATCTCTCATTCTAGTTACAGCAGAATACTGACACTACCTAGACTCCACATCCCTGGTCACATTTTTAGTCTTTCAGGAATGCCCTAACCTACTTATTTTAAAATTGTCCTCTAACCAGGTTCATTTCAAATTAATTCTCTCATTATTTCAGTCAGATTTAACCTGTGTGATCCTATGTATACACCTGAATTCTAAGTTATACAATTCACTTGCTTACCTATTTGACAATATATACTGAGTGCTAACATGTGCTAGGCACTGTTCTAAGGCTGAGGCTACAATGGTAAAGATTTGACATGTAACTTAATGCTTGTACTCATCATAGTCTACCCTGTATTTTCCTTAGTTGTTTAAATGCCTATTTTTCCACAAATTTGTGAGTTTCTTGAAGTCAAGTCCCACACATTAAAAAAAAAAAAAAAAAAAGCTTTGCTCACATGGAGCACTTATCGTATTATATTTAGAATGGTAGCAATTGGTTTTAAGATAGGTTTTGTCTTTTATTGTCTTGGGAACTTGAACAAGGCACTTAACTCTTTGATTCTCTATTCTCATATGTGAAGTAGAGACAACAGTACCTGTCTTATGCTAAATTTCACAAAAAAAAGTATTTTGTGGAACTCTATAAGTCTAAAAAAATCCACTAAATATTGGTACTGAGCAGATAAAGAAAATGTGGTACATATGTACTACATGTAATACTACTGAGTCATAAAAAGGAATGAAATAATGTCTTTTGCAGCAAGACATTGGATGGAGCTGGAGGCCATTATTCTAAATAATTCACGAATGGAAAACCAAATACTGTATTTATTCCATTTACTTATAAGTGGGAGCTAAGTCATGAGAATACAAAAACATACACAGTGAGAAAATGAACTTTGGGGATTCAGGGAGGGGAGAAGGTTGGAAAAGGTGTGAGGCATAGAAGATTATATATTGGGTACAGTGTACATTGTTTAGGTGACAAGTACACTAAAATCTCAGACTTCACCTCTAAAGAACTCACCTATGTAACCAAAAACTGCATGTACCCCAAAAACTATTGAAAAAAAAAATCATTAAAAAAAATGCCAGTACTACTACTACATTAGTAAATGAACCTGCCTCTTCTATTGAACTAAACTATGGCTGGGCCAATAATTTGTTAACTATTCATTGACCAACAAACTAATGTAAAACAGTAAGCAACAATACAACACAGTCCTTCATTAGCTAAAACACAGAATTACATTTACTTTTTTTTTTTTTTTGAGACACAGTTTCGCTCTTGTTGCCTAGGCTGGAGTGCAATGGCATGATCCCAGCTTACTGCAACCTCTGCCTCCTGGGTTCAAGTGATTCTCCTGCCTCAGCCTTCCGAGTAGGTGGGATTACAGGCATGTACCACCACGCCCAGCTAATTTTTTGTATTTTTAGTAGAGATGGGGTTTCACCATGTTGGCCAGGTTGGTCTCAAACTCCTGACCTCAGGTGATCCACCTGCCTTGTCCTCCTAAAGTGCTGGGATTACAGGCAGGAGCCACTGCGCCCAGCCTTACATTTACTTTTTGTAGTGGTATCTCAACAGCTGATATCCTACACGTGTTTTCTCAGTTAGATTTCGACGTATCTTCTATGTAACCCAGTCTGATGTTATCCTTCAGGGTTCACGGGACCACTAGGAGGTATTTAGATATACATAAGAGGTCCGTGAATAATGTCATTTTGTTTACTGTTGTTTAATTATAATGTTGATAAGGGAAAAAAGGATTCCTGGCCAGGCCATTGTCTGTGTAGAGTTTTCATGTTTTAACCATGCCTGCATGGGTTTTCTCTGGGCACTCCAGTTTCCTCTCACATCCCAAAGATGTGTACATTAGCTGAACTGGCGTCTCTACAATGTCCCAGTATAAGTGAGTGTTCTGTGCTGTGAGTACACCTTGCGCTGGAATGGCATCCTGTCCAGGTTTGGTTCCAACCTTGGGCCTTTAGCTGCAAGGACAGGTTCCAGCCACCCACAACTGAAACCAGAAAAAGCATGTTGGAAAATGAACGAATACAAATTATTGTAAAGTAAAAATTCATAAAGCATATGGTGATCATACAAATATATGACAATAAGCGATGCAGTATAAAAACACTCAATGAGCCTGCCATATTTGTGACTGCTTTGGAACTGCATATAGTAGGAGGTGTTCTTTACAATTTTTGCTTTGCAAACATTTATTCCTTGATTTAACCCACCATTGCTACTACTGCCACTCACGGATTCACCAAAAACTGGGTAAATAATTACCTTGTTTTTATTAATATTTCTGAAATGTATGTATAGCTCACATTTACTTCAATGTTCAATATAAGAAGTGTCTTAGGTCTTTACTAGAAGGCTGATGATCTTTTTGTGACCAGAAATATGCCATAGGAACTTAACTCTTGTTCATATCCATTAGTCTATATACAGTAAAATTAGTTTTGCTATACACTGTTTTGCTTAAAGTTAAATTAGATTCCAAGATTCTAAGATTCCAAGGACCCATCAATGACATCAAGTGCAGACTTATTGAATAAAGAAATTTGTTACAGGGAGTTGACCTTACACAATTGTAGGAGCTGCTTAAACAGCCTTTGTATCTGATGGTGTAGTTTGAATTCCACAGGGCAGGCAGTTGAGAAGAGGAAAGATGTAATGTTGGGGAGAGTGAGAACAAACTGACACCCAAGAGCATCAGCTGGTTGACAAGGATGGACTCACATCAGTCTTACTGCCTCCAACCTGGATGCAATGGGTATCCTGCAGGAGATGCTGGTGCCTTTCATTATGGAGCTAGACATATACCTGGCACAGGGTAAGAGAAGCTGAAGAAGGATATAGGGCAAGGAAGAACAGTTACAGACCTGACTGCAGTGAGCCAGTAAATAACTTTCCTAGCGTAAATGAACACTGTAGTAGTGTTCCAACCTTCCTAGTATAAAAGCCAAAAACAGCTGCTGTTTCACTCTCGTCCTCCAAATTTCACACAAAATTGTCTCTTTTGGCCACTCTAACTAGAAACATACAAGAAGGAAATTCTGTGAAGTGTAGTTGACCCTAGTGAAACTAACATGTTACACAGTCAACATCTTGTCAACCTGGCATCTCTTAAAACCATACACATCTCTTAAAACCATACTTAGTTCTCAAATGGAGAAAATAACAGTCATGCTTCCACCTAACATGATACAACTATCCCTCCACACAACAAACATCCTAACCCCTTCCTTCTAAAAGACAGGATATGAGTTCCTTTTTTTTGTTTTCAGGGGATGTTCATTCTCCTTCAATCTGATTCACAGTTTTCTTTGATATTTTGTAACTTAAATATGTAGATACAAAGTTAACTATTATTAACATGTCTTATCTTAGATGATGCGGAATGAGACAGTAGGAGAAACAAAAATATTTGATTAATATATAGACAAACATATATTAAGAAGGAATATGAACGTTTGTATCAGTACTGTAGTGTTCACTTCTTTAATTCCTCACATAGCTGTAGCTGTTATTTTTACATATCTTTTTCTACTAACCACTCCATATTCCCTTTGCCCTCAGCAAGTACTTCACTATTCATAGTTTCTTATCTGGAAGGGTGGCCCAAATTTTATTCTCAAAAAATCGAGGCCATCATCAGCACTGCCTAACTTGGGTTCTTACAGCTTTCTATTGATTTTACTCATAGAACCTATGAGTACTGCATTCCAGAGGTACTCTACATTACCCACACTGTGTAGTAGCAACTCAATTTCCTCTTAATAGGCTCAATCTATCAATAATTCCCCTTCTTTGCCTGTGGGTTTACAGTGGCCATACGAGGGCAGTCTTAACTTCCAGTTCAACAGAATCATTACTTGTGTCCCCACATGGAAGCATTCTTCTTTTGGGGATTAAGACTTATAAATCAGCAGAGCCTAAAGTTGGGAGGATAGGAAGCAAAAATTTTGCTACTGAATCACTAGGAGTAATTGTGTGTGGTGCCACACCTATTTCCAAACTGTGGTTTTTAGGCCCATGAATCCTTGCTAGAGGAGAAATAGCAGCATAAATCAAAATCTGATTTAGAGCATGTATTGCATCCTGGAGGATACTGCCCCAGCCCCACAGGGCATTGCCACCTAGCTGGCACTGTAACTGAGTTTTCAAAGGCCTTTCCTACCTACTATCAACCCAGCTGCTTCAGGATGACTGGGATCTTTCTAAGACCAGTGAATTCCACGAGCAAGGCCCAACCAATTTCCATACTTCATTAGCTGGTAAGTGAGTTCCTTATTCAGAAGTGATGCTGTGTGGAATATCATGGTAATGGATAAGGCATTCTGTAAGTTCATGGATAGCAGTTTCAGCAGAAACATTGTGAGCAAGGGAGGCAAATTGCTATCCAGAGCAATGTTTTTTTCCAGTGAGAACAAAGCACTGCCTTTTACAGGATGGAACTGATTCAATGTAATCAACCTGCCACCAGGTAGATGGCTGATTCCCTTGAAGAATGGTACCACTGAGAGGTTCACTGTTGTACCCAGATCCACCTGGGTGAGTGGGTCGATATTACTGAACCAATGCATAAGCCTTTCTCTGTGGCACCATATCTGCTTTGTTCATGAATCAATATACACATCCTGGTGGTTCTGCTTCTCAGTTTGAACCCTGACAGATGAGCTGGGTATGGAGAGTGGTTTCAAAGGAACTGAATCTTAGGATTAGGTTATCTGAATTGGTTCACGCTTCTTGCTTTTATAATATTTTACATTTATATTTCAATCACTGAAAGTACTATACAAAACTGAATAAACTTTTTAATGGCACACACACAAAAGAGTATTCAGGTTATACTTACTAAGGACTGAATCAACATATTAAGACAACTTTTCTGAATCTCAGTAGGTATATTTGCAAAGCTTCTCTCAGACCAAAACCTTGCAAAATGCTTTACAATCCACCTGTTAAAATCAAAGAATATCAAGTTAAAGAAATTAAAATGTTTTTCATTATAATAGTCAATATTTTGGTTTCAATTACATAACTGTACATATATATATGACCTGACTAATACTATTGATTTTATGAACTCTAAAATGGACTTTATATTCTCTTTCCTGTAAACAAGTATTTTAAACCCATGTGCAGAGATTTTAACATAATTAACCGTGGCTCAGCTAAGATAAAATGATCCTAAGTATCTTCAGTAATATCTACATTATTACTCTATTTAGTGGTGAAACTAGTACAGCACTAAGCTACTTACTTACATTGTGTCCAAGAAAACAGGCCAACTCTAAAGTTCCCCACAAAATTAAAGAATAGAAAAACAAAATCCCTAAATTAATAGTATCAGCACGACTTAACATAACTTACTTCATGCAGTCAGCAAAAAGACTTTCCACTCCAACTGAATGAGCAATAATCAGGCATTCTAGTACAGACGTCAATGTTCTGGGAACAGGCTAAAATTGATGGAAAACACAACATTTATTCTTTTTCAATTTACAGAGGCTAAAAATATTTGGTTCATAAAGATAATCCAATTTATATACCTAAACTGCAGAACACATACAACTCAAAATCTGATAAATTCCAAATTTATTTTCTATATTTAACCCTTTATCTGAAATTAACTTCTGCTGGTACTGAGGCTACAAATAAGCTCTAGTCAGAGTCTTTATTTTTTTCCTTAAAAACACCTTTCTATACAAAAACTTAAACATGAATGTTTATAGCAGCTGTCTTCATAACTGCCCAAACTTGGAAGTAACCATGTTGTCCTTTACTAGATGAATGGATAAATAAACTGTAGTACATTTGTGCAATGAAATATTCAGCTCTAAAAAGAAATGCGCTATCAAGCCATGAAAGGACATGGGGGAATCTTAAATGCATATTACTAAGTGGAAGAAGCCAATCTGAAAATACTATATACTATATGATTGCAACTATATTACACCCTGGAAAAAACAAAACTACAGAGACAGTAAAAAGGTCAGTGGTTGCTGGGGGTTAATGGGGAGGGAAGGATGAGCACTCAGAGCATAGAGGATTTCTGGGCACTGAAAACACTCCTTATGATACTATAATGGTAGATACATGCCATTATACACGTGTATAAACCCATAAAATGTACAACACCAATAGCGAACTCTATTGCAAACCATGAATTTTGGACAATAATGTGTAATTGTATGCTCATCAGTTGTAACAAACGTACCGCTCCAGTGGGCGATGTTGACAATGGGGGAAGCTATGCATGTGTAGAAGGAAGTGGGTATGTAGGATATCTCTGTACCTTCCTCTCAATTTTGCTGTGAACCTAAAAATGCTCTAAGTTTTTTTTGTTAAAAAGTCTGTAATTCCTTTAAAACTAAGTGTCACTAACAACTTTCAATTTTATGGCATATAATTTGAACTCTTTTGCCTGCCAGAATGCACACAATTTTTATTCTAATTTATTTTAGGTTAAATATCTTTTTTAAAGCAAAAGTGGTATAATAATTTCTAGCACATCACATTGCAGTACAACAACATGGTCTAATCTGCTTCCTAACATATAAATACAAATTAAAGTAATTGTGCAATGAGAGGCCCTATATTGATCTCAGATAAAAAGAATTTAGTTAGATCATAATTACATATATATATATTTTTTTTTGAGACAGAGTCTCACTCTGTCGCCCAGGCTGGAGTGCGGTGGCGTGATCTCGGCTCACTGCAACCTCCCTCGGGTTCAAGAGATTCTCCTGCCTCAGTCTCCTGAGTACCTGGGATTACAGGCATGTGCCACTACACCTGGCTAATTTTGTATTTTTAGTAGAGACGGGTTTCTCCATGTTGATCAGGCTGGTCTCGACCTCCCGACCTCAGGTGATCCACCCATTTCAGCCTCCCAAAGTGCTGGGATTACAGGTGGGAGCCACCGCGCCCGGCCACATAATGTATTTTTTAAAAGTACATATACAGAAATAATAAATGAGAACAAATAAAATGTAGATACAAGTAGGGAAAACAACTCACTTCTCCTGTTGTTACATATCTTTGCTATGTATTGCCCATGCAATGTATTTTCATGTTTTGGACATTTCTAAGCACATTTATTTCTCAATTAGGTTGAAGAGTTTAATTTCTTTTTATACACTTAATAAAGAACATCAAACAGCTAATTTGTATATCTAGTCTCTAAATGTGTACTTCTGAAGATCTGCTCTCTGAGAGAAGAGCAAAATCTTCTTTGAAAATGTCTCCAGCATAGTCCTTCTGGTAAGGTCAGTTATTTCCAATTCTTTATTTATGAATTACTATTATTTGATTTTCTAACACCCCTCTACTAAAAGTGTTATATTAGTATTAAAAAAATTGAACGTAGGCCAGGTGCAGTGGCTCATACCTGTAATTCCAACACTGTGGAATATTGAGGCAAGGTGGATTACATGAGGTCAGGAGTTCGAGGCCAGCCTGGCCAACATGACAAAACCCCAAATCTACCAAAAATACAAAAATTAGCCAGGTGTGGTGGTGCATGCCTGTAATCTCAGCTACTTAGGAGGCTGAGCAGGAAAATCACTTGAACCTGGGAGGCAGGTGGAGGTTGCAATGAGCTGAGATCCCACCACTTGACTCCAGCCTGGGTGACTGAACGAGTGAGACTCATCTCAAAAAAAAAAAACAATAAAAAAAAGAAATTGAATGCAAATCTTTCGCTTTGCATATTAACAATTTAAACAATTAAGATCCTTTTGAGATAACTGGAGATACTTTAAGTTATATAAAATATCTGTGTGTGTGTGTGTGTGTGTGTGTGTGTGTATTTTGTTTGTTTGTTTGTTTGTTTTTGAGATAGGGTTTGGCTCTGTCACCCAGGCTGGAATGCAGTGGTGTGACCATGGCTCACTGCAGCCTCGAACTCCTGGGCTCAAGTGATCCTCCCACCTCAGCCTCCTGAGTAGCTGGGACCACAGGCACATCCTACCATGCCTGGCTAATTTTTAAAAAATTTTTTGTAGAGACAGGATCTCCCTCTGTTGCCCATGCTAGTCATAAACTCTTGGGTTCAAGCAGTCCTCCTACCTTGGCCTCCCAAAGTGCTGGGATTATAGACATGAGCCTCCACACCTGGCCTAAAGTATATTTTTAATTGGTGACAAAAAAAAAATGTAAAGCCTACCAAAATCCTATAAATGAAGTCAAAAATGTTTAATTGTGTAAAAGACAGGATTGTGAAGCTAATGAAATTATTGAAGCTAGCTTGCTAGGAGTTCTGGGACCAGTGGTCCATCACATTATACCCATATTTGTATTACTGTGTAACATTATTGTAAGTTTATGATATTTAAGTCACAGCCAAAAATGTGCATAACTAAGAACTAAGGCTGGGCGCAGTGGCTCACTCCTGCAATCTCAGCACTTTGGGAGGCCAAGGCAGGTGCATCACCTGAGGTCAGGAGTTCGAGACCCACATGGTGAAACCCCGTCTTTACTAAAAATACAAAAATTAGCCAGGCGTAGTGGCATGCATCTGTAGTCCCAGCTACTGGGGAGGCTGAGGCAGGAGAATCGCTTAAACCTGGGAGGCGGAGGTTACAGTGAGCTGAGATCGCACCACTGTACTCCAGCCTGGGTGACAGAGTGAGACTCCATCACAAAGAAAAAAAAGGACTAAAAGTTCAAAATTATATACATTCAAAAGTATATTTATAAAAATATACATTAAGAAATATAAAGCAAAAATTTTAAAGATTAGGTCAACAAAACCAGAAATTGTTCTCTCAAATATCTGTTACCACAGCAAAATAGACAACATTAAAATAAGTGGCTGGGCGCGGTGGCTCACACCTGTAATCCCACCACTTTGGGAGGCCGAGGCAGGTGGATCACCTGAGGTCAGGAGTTCAAGACCAGCCTGACCAACATGATGAAACCCCGTCTCTACTAAAAATACAAAAAATTAGCTGGGCGGGGTGGCACGCGCCTGTAATCCCAGCTACTTGGGAGGCTGAAGCAAGAGAATCGCTTGAACCTGGGAGGAGGAGGTTGCAGTGAGCCGAGATCATGTCATTGCACTCCAGCCTAGGCAACAAGAGCAAAACTCTGTCTCAAATAAATAAACAAATAAATAAATAAAAGCAAAAAAAGTTTTCAACAAAACAGCATACTGATAATTTAAAATAAACTTCATTTTCTGTTTTATTAATAATATAAACAAATGTCTTTTGTTTTTAAAATAAAGTGAATTATTGAAAGTAAAATACAAGAAGCTGCATATAACCCAATACACTCATCCACATATTAAAAAATAAAAATAGAGGCAATGATCCAAAGACTACTCATAAAAGATTATTTTTACAACTTTTAAAGCTCTTAAATAAGCTTTAACTGGCTTACTGAAGAATCTCAGCTCAAAAATACTAACATGAGACTTCTTATTTTCCCAACTAATGCTTTCAACCATGCTATGTCAAATCTCCCCTTTTTCCCATCCCTTAATGAAACTATAGGCAGATTCCAATACTTTCTGGATACTATTGTTATTGAAATGCGGCACAGTACTATTTTAACACCTATCTCTTCATCGTATCTGATATAAATATCTCCCTCCCCATTGCTGACTAGATTTATGGTTGAAATGTGAAATAGGGAGTAGTGCATGGTCTGATCTCCTGCTCCTCCATTTTCTGGGTCAAATTCGTACGGAAGACTATAGATGGCTCTGGTCACCTTACGTAATTAAGCAGAGACCAAGATGGTAGTAGGGAGATATCCTTGGCTTTGTTCTAATTCAGATACTGGAGGCCTTTATTGATATAATGGCTCTTTTAGTGGCAGATCAAGCTTCAACCTGGGCTCTCAGTGGATAAGAACTCTTTAAGTGGCTCATGATGCACAATACCTCCCCAAGCGGGACACGGTGTCATCTAGCCCTGTTATCAGTCTTCTCTAACTTTCATGAAACCATTAAGGTCCTCCTCCTTCCCTGTGGACCATGTATAACCGGGGTGCAGAGTGGAATCCTCATACTTTTTTCTCTGTATGACAGTAACTGAAGTTCCTTACACCAAGGCTAGTTTTGGCTTCTCCAGCAAGTCTTCTCTCTTTAGAAATCTCCTCACTCAACTACATTCTCATTGGCTTCTCAGACATATTCCAAGCTCTCCTAAGAAATTTATTATCACTTTCTCTTTGTCTTTGATAGAAGCTCCAGGGTGGGATGGTTTTACAGATATAGTTAATGTTCATCTAGGGGATGAGAAGACAACAACTCCTTATTGCAGATATTCTCCAGCTTTAATCTTTGTGATTTACTTGGATCCCCCTAACTTTCACTTGACTGGAAATATAAGGGGGACATATGAAGAAGGAAGAATCTTTCACCAGAATTCCTCACTTTCTACAAAGCTGAGGACACCACCAGCTGCCCTCCTTCTTCCAAGGCCCTTACTTACAGAGGCTGAAGTGAATGGTTTGTTAAAGAAAGCTGAGGGGTTAACTATTTCTCAGTAAACCTTGTGGGGTTGGTAGTAGTGGTGGTACTAGACCCAGTTGTTCATGGCTTTCATTTAGCACATGGGCTGCTTCCGCACCTACAACTTGTAGGGAGGTAGAAAAAGACCTACCCGAAACAAAAATCTAAATTTAAGCATTATTAAAACCACCTAATTAGAATTCACACAATGTATATTATTGCTTCAAACACCAGTAAAAGAGAAAGATGATGTAAAAAGTTAGATTTGTTTTAGTTGATTATAAAATACTTGTTCTTCGTAGAAAATTTTAAAAACATAGACAAGCATAAATAAGAAAATAAAAATAACCTAAAATCGCAGAATGTATTAAAACAATGGATAATCTAAGAATAATGTATGAATGGCTTCGAAATGCATAGTATGAGCTCTTTAGACATTTAACTTACCTTTGCAGTAACTAAAATTAAAATTAGTTAGTATCCATAGGTCACCTGAAGAGACTGGCATAAAAGAACTACATTCCACCCCAAGTCCCTGCTATAAAGAGAAATGGTAGAAGGAAGGAGTATACTTTCAGGAGTAAGAACAAATAAAGCACTGTGTAGCCCTTTGATAAATGGGAAAGTAACCTTAGTTCTTAACTTCCTTTCTCCTAGTTCCGAACTCTGGGCACCTTTGAATTATACAGGATACTCCTACCTCCTCTCAATACCTGCCCTCCCATCAATTTTGTTTTACTTAAAATTATTTGAATTAGTTTCTGATTTTTGCAAGCATACCATATGTATTATTTCTCAACTGGAGTTCTCATTAGTTAAATTTACTTAATATTTTAAATATTTAAAGCACTATTACTATCAGAGTTAAAAATCTAGTAGGTAATAATGGATGACAACGCACTGGATAAAAGATTTCTGAGGCTCAATAATTACCTTCTGAAAGAAATTACAGTAATCTCTTCTTAAAATATAGATTGCTACTTCTTTTAATCCTTCTAGTCCATACATATCAGCCATATTGAGTATCTGACTAAAATAAAAATAGATGCACTGTTAATTCTCCAATTTAAAACTCAAGGCACAATACATACTAATTTATTGATAATATATAGTCTGTTTAGAAAAAAATAATCTGAAATATTTTGATTCTAATTTTCTGCCTTACATAATATATACCCTTTATGGATTATAAACACAGCGTAGGCCAAACGTTGAAAGCACTGACACGTGATTTGATTAGTAGAGAACAAGAAATAAATTTGGAGATGTCTCAAATTCCCTTCATATACTAAGTGATATACAGAACAAAATCCAAGAAACTGCTATAAAGGCTGTAAAAGTTACAAAACTCTCTGTATCAAATTTGTATAATAAAAGTTTCTTGGCAGGCGGAGGGGCAATTCACTAATGTCTTATCCTATTGAAAATGTCTACAAATAACCCTAAGATTGGAGACAGCATCCAACGACCAGAGTTTCTTTTGCTTCTTTCATTTGGCAAATATTTCTGAACACCTACACATACTTTAGGTACTTAAGAAGCCTACAAGCTTTGAGAGAATGACAAAATTTTGTATAGGTTGTCAGGGGATAAAAACTTAGTAGTAAATCCTGGGACTCACAGTATGTTCTCCTGAAAAACATATTTATTCAGTTTAAAATTAAAGGAACCAAATAATTTTTAAAATTAAAAAGTAGCTTTCATTTGTCTGATGTGAGAATACCAAGAGAATGGAAGACATCCAGAAAATTAAAAGAGCAAGGTGAACTTTCACTCCCAAGTAGGATTTCAGAGGCTTAGATGGTATTTCACTATAGCGCATTTAAAAATCACAGTTGTTGGTCTTTAGGATGCCCTATATTCTTTTTTTTTTTTCTTTCCCCAAGAACGGGGTCTCACTATAGTCCCAGGCAGGTCTTGATCTCCTGGGCTCAGGCTATCCTCCCGCCTCTGCCTCCCTAAGTGCTGGGATTACAGGTGTGAGCCACTGCGCCTGGCAAATGCCATATATA